GTTGGTGAGACATGCCGACCTATTCGACAAAGATTGGGAGAACACAAAAATGCTTGTAAAGGAAGTTGGGTCCAACGGTCAGAAGTGGCCGAACACATGATAGAAACTGGATATGAAATAGAATGGACAAGAATGATACCCAACTCTGATGATGTCTATCATATGATGGACGAAAGCTCAGCTCGTTTTCACTCGAAACGAGAGAGATCTCGTGGACTGTGTCAACCTGAACGTCGTAGTAAAGCCAAATGACTGCATTACAACGGGATTCATCCGTCCTTTTCTGGTGAGATCGACCTACAATCTCTTCGTCAAGCACTTTCATACGAAATGAAAGTCCCATTAATAATGTTATCTGGAGATTCATCGAAACCCAGTTTATCTTGGTTTCTACGATATAAATATAGTCTTGTAATGAATAAATTAACCACAAATCTTCGATAAGGATAGCCTGCATCTAATTTATCGAATGCCGTGCAAACAGGAGAAAACTAAATACAGATTGAGAAAATGGACGAAGAATTGGATCTCAGTGCGATTCCAAGGCGAAATATAGTGACACAAAAAATAAAAATAAATGGTAAACAAAGATATGGGAAGTGGATATAAACAAACAATCAGTTAACGAATGAAAACGCGATAGGCTTAAGTTGTACCGAGCGCTCTGACCCAGAAGAAATAGAAAATAAACTCAACTTTCAAGAAGGAAATGTAAAGCTGCATTGCAACTATTATTCCAGTAAAATGCACTTAGGCTTAGGTCATCAAATACAAATTATCAAACAAGAAAGGCAGTCAGATAACCTAATAGATAACCATAGATATAATTGAGTCATGTATATTCAAATAATTAAAAACATGAAATTAGAATAATTTCTAAATCGCTCAAGAGCCAGCCGAGTATTGAGAACTCACAATTGGCAACTCTAGCTTGGCCAGCTGCTCCCGCAGCACAACTTGATGACGCCGACTTGCCTCGTCGCTTGCCTGTATTATGACCAGTTGAGGAATGCTGTCCTAGTGGACCACTGCAACTACTGGCCGCAAAAGCGGTTGTAGAAGAAATGGAGGTAGCAGGATAGGACGAGCCCCCAGCCAACACTCCATTTCCTCCACTTGCTGCGCAGATTCCAGTAACATTGCCATTTTTATTATAATGCCCCGTCACTATAGCAGACGGCGTTCCAAGTGTAGTCCCTGCCCCAGGCCCTACAGAAAGCGCAGCCTGGAAACCAAGGCTATGCAGACCGGAGCCAAAGTCGACATGCTGCGAAGTATGGCCATTACTGCACTCCATATTGGAGGACACAGCTGGTGGCATGAGCAACGCGGAGGCTGCGGTGGAAGGGCTAATGCTATTGCTTTTCCGTTTCCAATAGTAGTAGAAGGCCACAAGTTGCTTGACCGTCTTCAATGGATCAGGAGGGCATTTAGGAAGAGAGGAATCTGAGTCTCCTAGACAAGGATTTAAAAGACACAAGCACGTTATACTAAAGCTCCAAACATTGATTAAACATAATTATGCATAGTCCTCATGAGATAATACAAAAGTCAAAGTTCGGTAAATTTGTTGTCTCTATTACTGAAAGAAATATGAAAAACCACAAAATAATACTTATTAATACTATTATCAATGGTTATAAGAGATGCTATTGTTGGTGTTCTTACTAGCACCACCTTCAAGGTTTTATTTATCTCCAATAGTCCAATAATGGAGACAGATGACTAGGGTAGCGAAAGAGAAATGGCGAGTAAAATTATCCAAGGTGAGAAAGATGTTTTCTTGCAGTAGGATATCAGCTTGGTCAGGCGATCGTGGAGTATTGTTGAAAGTTTGTTAGAAGCGAAGGTGTTTTTTGATATTGCTCGAGTAATTACTGTACAGATGTTATACTCCGGAAGTAAAACTAATAGAGGCGTAAACTAGAACTTAGTTCACAGAAGTTAATATTTATCAAATTTCCCCCCATTAAATTCTTTTAAAAGCATGTAAATGACTAATAAAAACAGATTTTAAGTATCGGATCAAATTCCCTCGGAGCGTGAAAGGAAAAATAATATCACACTGTAAAATTATGAGTGGTTAGGATACAATGATAAGCTCAGCTTGTCAGTTTATAGGTAAGTAAATAAGTAGAGGTAATGTGATAGAATAGTATTATGTGCGTTGCTGGGACCATTGTATGAGGCCAGTGGATACTATCGATTTTCTAATTTTAACTTGAGTGATCATAACTAATAAATCTGTTTAAATGATACACGAGTCCGAAACACGAATACGTTTATCATTGGTTCCAAGATGCGAATGAGTCCCTTTAGAACATACATTTATATGGCTCTTTCGTTGAGAATGAGTCAGTTAAGGAAACTGGCCAATCATTTGACTAACCGTATTTGGGATTGAACCATACTGAATATCCATGCAAAAAAAGAGAACTGGACCCCAATATGACAAAACTGACCTGTAAAAGACTTAATTTTTCCACCCGTGGCTGTTACGCTTTCAGCAACTATCCCGCTATCGCTCAGTCTCGCTGTCACAGTCTTGGCAGTTTTAACCTCCTCATCCTCTTCTTCGTCGTCATCTTCTTCCTCTTCCTGATGAACTTCGTCTGTCCCACGCCGTCCGCCGGTACTCCCTATCGAGTCCAAGCAGTTATCTACAACGGAACTCAAATCCGCTTCTGGCTCTTTTTTCATCCATTGTAGGTTCTCGCAAGACTCTTCGATCTTAGGAGTCTCAGAGGGGATGCCATCACTGATGGCTGCTACCACGATAACTGTATCAGTAGTTTCATTGCATATGCGCCCTCCTGGAGCTGGTTGAGTGCTAGTGCGTCGTCTACCACGCCGAGAAGCCGATACTCCTCTAAGCATTCCGTTCGTTATAGGACCAACTTCCACAGTAATCTCCCCAATTGACTGTTTTATTTCTTCTTCATTGCTCTGCTGAGTGTTGTTTTGCTGCTGACTATAATTGAAAGGATGAGCAGATTCGTGACTAGTTGATCCATCAAGAAAGCCATTTTTCGCCACACAAGCGATGCCAGTGCCTCGACCGGCTAATATGTTGGGCATTCGACAATCAGGGGGAAGGTGACCACGGAAGAAGTCACGCTGGATAGCATGAAAATCCTTCCCATGCTTTCTCAGACCAAGTGCGAAAAGACGTACTTCTTCTGCTGTCCAGTGATCAGGAGTGTCCTGTAAAGATTTTTTTAAATAATGGAAATGCGAAAAAAGTTTGAGTACAAAAGTAAAAAAAATTAATTCGAGAATTCATTAAGCTTTTAAAAGTTTTGAAATAGGCGTCCCTAAGAAAGATTTTTCCTATGCAACATAAGAAAATAATCATGTAGGTTTTAATTTTGACATACTGTGTCTGGTACTGGAGTCCGTGTGATTGTATCCAAAGCAGCTGGAAGTGAATAGTTACATCTATGTAGAGTGTCGTAAGCATGCTGTGTGGTCGCAGCCATGTTAGCTAGGACCAGACCATTTTCTGCTGAACCCAAGTCATCACGAGCTCCACCAAACGCCTGGAAAGCGATCAAAGAACGCACACCGTCGAGATATGTTTTGAGGGGCTCCTCACTTAAAAGAGTGACAGTCAAAGGCAAAGAACTCGCTGGCGCCCCGGTACTGGTAGTAGCGGCAGTAGCGAGGCCATTTGGTCTCCAGATAAGCTTCTCCCAGCGCTTGCGGTGCAGGCGAAAATGTGAGTGATGTTTGCGCGTGTGATGATGCTCATCTCGGCTAGGAGGCGCTTTGTGTCTAGATGGAAGTGATGGCATATCGTCGGCACTGATAGTAGCTTGAATCACACTCCTCCTCCTTTTCAATGTATCGTGTCGTCCTAACGTACTATTTGGTTTAGTGATTTCAGATGAATCACAAGGCTCGAATTCACACTTAATTGATTCAGAACCTTGGGAGCAAACAAAAGGATCCGTTAAGTCAATACCAGAACTAGGAAGAAGAGAGTCAATCTCTTCTCTTTGGCCAGTGACGTCAGAGAGGTTCGACTTCATTCTAGGACGTTTCGCTGGTATTGAATCGCGCGATCGGCCTGCTGAAGGCGAAGCCGGGGATGATAATTGGGATGCTGGAATAGGGCTAACAGGCCGTGTAGCTGCATCAGTGTCCAACATCGAAGATGAACTCACAAATCTATGATTGGGTTCATGATCTGGAGAACGGATAGACCATTTAGATCCTACTGTAGACTGAGTTTGACAGTAAGAGATAGAAGAGATTGGTTGCTGACTGACGTGAACAGATGAGTGTGAATGAGGAGTATCTGATGCATCTGTATGTGCTAAAGATGAGGCCTTTGGAGACCTAGAAGAAACTAATTGGAATTCTAGCTGATGTTTAAAATAATTTATATTAGCCATGGAACCATTTTCTCTCAAATGTGTAGAGACACAGTGAGAAGTGTGGTTAGACTGATCACGATGAGTGAGTTGACGAGAACCGAGATGTTGGACCTGTTCTTGGCTGGTAACGTGATGAGAATGATGACGGCTATAATGATATCGATGGTCGTTATGATGAGGATGGCGATGACGGTGACTGTGGCGACTAGGTTCAATATGCTTTTGATGTGGCCGATGGCCAGATTTATGGCGACCGTTGGATGAGCACCTGTGATGCGTTTTACGGCTGGAAAGGAGTTGAGCAGTATGCCGAGGCTTAAAGTCAGGCAAATTAGCTTGATAGGCGCGGCCAACCTAAATGTGAGGGTTAAAGGATTGAATTATTGCTAGTTAATGAAGAGTAAAT